ATGAGCATGAAAAAGAAATAAAAGGCATAGATTGGAAAAGAAGAAGTAAAACTATCCCTACTTGCAGATGACCTGATCTTATATATAGAATACCCTAAATAGGGTGGGGGACTGTGGCTCACGCCTGTAATCCCAGCACTTTGGGAGGCCGAGATGGGTGGATCACCTGAGGTCAGGAGTTCGAGACCAGCTTGACCAACATGGTGAAACTCTGTCTCTACTAAAAATACAAAAATTAGTTGGGCGTGGTTGCGTGCACCTGTAGTCCCAGGTACTTGCGAGGCTGAGGCAGGAGAACTGCTTGAATCCAGGAGGCAGAGGTTGCAGTGAGCGGGGATTGCACCATTGCACTCCAGCCTAGGCAACAGAGCGAGACTCCGTCTCAAAAAACAGAAAAAGGAAAATCCCCAAATTATTAATGTTAATAAATCGGTTCAGCAAGGCAGCAGGATATATGATCCATATGTAAAAATCAGTGTATTTCTATACATTAGCAGTGACTACTCTAAAAATGACATTATAAGGCCTGGCGCGGTGGCTCACGCCTGTAATCCCAGCACTTTGGGAGGCCGAGGCGGGCGGATCACAAGGTCAGGAGATCGAGACCACAGTGAAACCCCATCTCTACTAAAAATACAAAAAATGAACCGGGCGCGGTGGCGGGCGCCTGTAGTCCCAGCTACTCGGGAGGCTGGGGCAGGAGAATGGCGTGAACCCAGGAGGCGGAGCTTGCAGTGAGCCAGGATCGCGCCACTGCACTCCAGCTTGGGTGACAGAGCGAGCCTCCGTCTCAAAAAAAAAAAAAGAACAACAACAAAAAAAATGACATTATAAAGCAATTCCATTGATAATAGCTTAAAAAGAATAAAATACTTACGAATAAATTTAATCAAAAAACTACAAGTTACATACTAAAAACTATAAAACTATTGCAAGACATTAAGCGAGTTCTAAATAAATGGAAATATATCTCACGTTCATGGTTTGTATGACTTACTATTATTGTTAAGATTGCAAATTTCCCAACTGAATCTGCAAATTTGATGTAATCCTTATCAAAATTCCAATGCCTTTTTTTTTTTTTCCAGAAGTGGACTAACTGATCCCAAAATTCATATGGAATTATGAAGGATACAGAATAGCCAAATCAATCTTGAAAAAGAACAACAAAGTTGGAGGACTCATACTTCCTGATTTCAAACTTAAAATGTTTTTTGATCTTAGAAACTTACAGTAATGAAGACTGCATGGTAGTGGCATAAACACATATATATAGATAGACAAATGGAATTTATCTGGGCATTCTGAAATACATATATACATTTATGATCACTTGATTTTTAACAAAGGTGTCAAGTCTGTTCAATAAACGAAAAAATAGTCGTTTCAGCAAATGGTAGGGACTACATGCATTGTTTTACATGTGGGTATCTGTTTACATATGGGTATAACCAGTAACTGGTTATATACATGCAAAAGAATGAATCTAGTCCCTACCCTTGAACCATGTACAAAAATTAACTCAAAATGGAAGACCTAAATTAAAGAGTAAATACTATACAACTCTTAGAAACGTAGATAAAAACCTGTGTTTCCATGGATTACAAGTTTCTTGGATATGACATCAAAAGGACAATCAAAGAAAAAAATAGGTAAATTGAATCTTGAAAATATCATGCTAAATGAAAGCCAGACACAAAATTATATGACTCCATTTATGTGAAATGTTCAGAAGAACATCTATAAAGACAGAAAGTAGATTAGTGATTTCTAGGGGGTGGGGGAGAGGAGGATATTGAGACTAACTGCTAATAGGTATGGGGTTTCTTTTGGGGGTGAGAGAAATGTTCTAGAATTGGAGAGATTAGGTTAGGCAATGGGAATAATCTGACTTAGAAGTGTCTTACTGCCAGGCATGGTGGCTCACACTTGTAATCCCAAGACTTTGGCAGGCTGAGATGGGCGGATTGCTTGAGCTCGGGAGTTTGAGACCAGCCTGGACAACACGGTGAAACTAAAAAAAAAAAAAAAAAAAAAAATTAGCTGGGCATAGAGGCCTGTGCCTGTAGTCCCAGCTACCCAGAAGGCTGAGGAGAGATGACTGCTTGAGCCCAGAAGGTTGAGGCTGCAGTGAGCTGTGATCACACCACTGTACTCCAGCCTGAGCAACAGAGTGAGACTCTGTCTCGGGGGAAAAAAAAAAAAAAAAAAAAAAAAAGGTGTCTTACTAATAGTAATGGAGTACTCTTGACTGGGTATCTATATATAAATCGGCAAACCTCCTCAACAAAACCTGCACCACTACTCCTCTGGCAGGACGCCTATTGAGCTGGCCTTGGTAAGAAGCATGCTCTTCTCTTCCCAACCATAGCATCTTCTATTCTCTCTCTGAAGTGGCCAGAAAAAGACTGGGTCAAGCTGGCTTGGTATATGGCCAGGTAGCCAGTTGTCCATATAAATTCATCTGGACTGCCATTGGCAACAGTTTGTAATATATAATTCATCTTCATTCCTTAAAATCCATGTAGGAACAATGGTTGGAGAGTAACAACTCAAGCAGCCCAAATACTGTAGATGATTATAAATTGGAACTTTCTTCAGCTCCTTACAACACCCAACAACTTGTGAGGTTCAGCAAATTGTGGTACTGGCAGTATACATTCTGTATATTAAAGAAAGAACACAGGGTATGGTCCATATCTCTGCTTGCCCCATTAGAAGAGGTATATTAGTCTGTTTTCATGCTGCTGATAAAGACATACCCAAGACGGGGAAGAAAAAGAGGTTTAATTGCACTTACAGTTCCACATGGCTGGGAAGCCCTCAGAATCGTGGCAGGAGGCAAAAGACACTTCTTACATGGCAGTGGCAAGAGAAAATGAGCAAGATGGAAAAGTGGAAACTCCTGATAAAACCATCAGGTCTAATGAGCCTTATTCACTACCACAAGGACAGCATGGGGGAAACCGCCCCCATGATCCAAATTATCTCCCACCAGGTCCCTCCCACAACACGTGGGAATTACGGGAGTACAATTTAAGATGAGATTTGGGTGAAGACACAGTCAAACCATATCAAGAGACATAAGAAAATGGCATTTGAGCCTTGCCCAAACATTATGAAGCATTAATTTCCACAAAGATCTGCAGCTGCATTAGGACCACTGGGAGTTAGGAGTTCCAAGTATCTCTGGATATGGCCACTGCTTAGGACGAACAGGCTCCACTTCAACCAACTGGCATATAAGGGCCATCTCTTTCCCTTAGAAACCAGTCTTCATCCTTTAGCAACATATTGGTAAGGCAAAATGACCACAAAGTAACTACTAGTTCCACTATAGCTTCACAACAATTAAGTACTCCTAAAATTGTAGGTATATATTTTGAATGTCCAATTTCCTTTTGCATGGGCTAAGGCAGCCTCAATGGGGTCATGGGCCATGTGGGTATATAACCGGAAGCCAAGTTGCTTCAGGGCTAAGTTGTTAGTAGAGTAGATGAAGTGTGTATGTAGCCATGGAGAGAAGCCCAAACTTAACACCAGAACAGAACAAAAGCTGTTAGCTCTAAGATGCAAATATAGAGCTTCAAACATATGATAAGGCAAGAGGAAAAAGCTGAAAATACCAGAAACTGGTCAGGAAATAGGCCCAAGCTAGTATGCTAGAAACCTCCTTCAGGCAGATGTGGTCATGTGGTACCAAGTTAAATCAATCGGTACTACTAAATCAGTTGGTACAAGCTTAAATCAATTTAAGTTCTGTTGAAAGGTACAGGACTGGGCCAAACATAACAATGTATTTTTCTAATACAGGATATCAGCTGTGACACTGGCTACCTTGACACATCTTCATCTGGAGAAAAAATACATAGAAAGCCTGCTATGATGACAATTTACTTCATGAAGAGAATGGGTTCTGAAACGGTCATTCTTTTCCATTTAAACAAAGTTACCATCTCCCAAAGAACAGTTTTGGGGCAGGAAAGAACAGTATTTCATTTCAAGCTGGACTACTCATCTACCAAAATACCATTCTGACCAAAGAAACAGATGCAGAATTATAGTCACAGCTGCATTCTGCACAGAACAAGTTGGATAATGGTATTCTAAATTGCTAATTATACTGTTAATGATTTTTTTAGTGTCATTGCAGTACTTCGCCACCTTTGTTTAAAAATTTTTAAAAAGCATGTAGCAAGTTTTCTAAATGGTAAATTTCTGTTTTGTTAAATACCAGTGAGTCTTCCAAAGAAAAATTCCATATAAAACCCATTTACTGAAATGGCGTTCATATGTGAATTTGGAGGAGCCTATTTATTGACTAGTTATTTGTTTTAATTTACTTTCTCACCAATTTACCTGCATTTAAGATTATTGAGGTCATAAGTATCTCAGTATTAGTGTTTTTATCTAGATCCATAGTTGGTATGAAAAAATAATAAACTAACATATGTCATGATATGCTGGCACTGGGAATGTGCTACAACTCAATTTACAAAAAGTAATGGCAACCGTACAATTTAATTTTCATTGTGATAACCGTGGTGCAATTTATTACAGTGTTAGTATTATGCTGTTTAATCCATGCCAGCATAGCTGAGGAAGGTAATTACATTTTTGATATAAAAATGCTACTAATGTTTTCATTTCATTTTAGCAGATTATAGTATGCAGATTAAAAGTACTGTCATTGTCCTATATTATTTCTTGTACATTTAAGTGGCAGACTATTTTTTCCACAAATAGTGAATTAATTTCTACTAAATTATTTCATTAAGGTTTTTAAATAATTAATTTGCTTCTTAACTAAACACCTCAAGCTGGCCAGAAACTTCAACATATTAGATTTACAAAAACTAAAATATCTTATATGCAGAAAATGGTGTACCAATCACAATTACATCACATCGTGTCTGGATAATTTTAATATTCAACAAGGTAAATTAGTAGTTAAAAATTGAAAACCAATCTTATGCAATGACTTTTAAGCAAATACTTACATTTTCTTCTAACAGATCATCCAATTTCAGTGATCTTTTAACACTACAAACAAAAAATTTAAAGAAATTTTAGATTGGACATGCTTTATTTAAAGTAGCCCAATAATTAAGGGAAAGATATATAAACGAAGATTCTAAGTTAGTTCTGCCAACCCATTTTTATATTATTTATTAAAGCAGAATACCATATGAAGAAAGCAATTATTTATGATGACAGGTTTGATTCTAATTGCATATCTCTAAATGGGATCATAATTAAATATTTAAATGAGTTACTTTAAAAAATATATGCAGTTATATATACAAGGACTACCGTACAATTTAAACATCTGTCATATTATAAAAGGTCTTATAAAAGTTAGTATGTTTGTCTGCTTTAAAATACCACTATTACAATATCATATATAAGAGCAAAATAATTTATACACTTTCAGTGGAGATGTTGAAAGTATAGTACAGAAACAGTGCACTAGGTGTTAAAGGTATGAGCATGGTGAAAAAAAGTTTTGCACATTATTCTAGCTTTAAACATGATTCAGTGCAACCAGACTATTACTTAACTGAGGAACAGATGCTCTATGTCTTTATAAGTCCCCAATCCATAAGAAACTATTTTTTGTTTCCTTCACTAAACTGATTCAGGAATATGCCAGGCTCTCTGTGTGCAAAATCTGTTCTGCTAAACTGGATGCCCAGCTGTTGGTGACAATGCTTAGAAAGGGAAGCGGAATATTTATAATACTTTATTTCATACAGCTGTCTTCTAAAGAGCAGTCATCAACATTTTATTGAATGCAGACTAAATGTTCAAAGGAGAAAAAGGTCAATATAAATTAAAACTAGTTTTCTCAGTGACAAATGCAGTGTTAAAAGTATTTTCTTGATTCTTGAGAAATAGAATTAAAATATTAAAGAATTAAGAGCATAAAGCAAAAAGATTGTACTATATTGTATTACAGAAATCCCCCAAAAGTTTGTACTGATCTTAGAAAATGACTATTCATACATAACTATTGATTTACAAAGGACAGGAATAAGAAAAAATAGAAGGGATGGTCAATCTAAGAAAATCATTGAACAGTAAATATTAAGTACAAAAACAATCTATCTAAAAGGAGATTATTTTGCTACTATATCCACATTAGCTTATCACAACATTATTTCTTGAGATTAAATTGGTTTAAAGAATTATTTATGCTTTTAGAAATCTACTTAATATCAATTTAATCTGATTTCCCAATGAGTCAAGAAGAAAACAGAGGTACAAACAAATTAAAATGCAGATAATTTTTTAAAATTTATATTTAGCTTTGGAATACATATTGCTGTATTTGGGTATGTAAGATGTTCTGGTATTTATAACACTTCAAAAATAGAAATTAGGCCAGGCGTGGTGGCTCACGCCTGTAATCCCAGCACTTTGGAAGGCTGAGGTGGATCACCTGACGTCAGGAGTTCGAGAGCAGCCTAACATGGTGAAACATCGTCTGTACTAAAAGTACAAAATAATTAGCCTGGTGTAGTGGTGCACGCCTGTAATCCCAGCTACTCCCAAGGCTGAGGCAGGAGAATCGCTTGAACCAGGGAGGCAGAGGTTGCAGTGAACCAAAATTGTGCCATTGCACTCCAGACTGGACAACAGGAGCAAAACTGTCTCAAAAAAAAAAAAAAAAAAAAAAAAAAAAGGAATTAAAAAACTAAAGTTAAACAGTACAGCATTTCTTATCCTTTGTTTCTAAATGCTATTAAGATGCAACACTATACTTTAGAAGGAGACAAATTCCATCCTGCTATTAACTGTTCAAAATATTGCTTTATTATCAATGGGTAATTCTTAGGGAAAGTAACTAAATGTTTGCTTTTAAAAAGTTTACAGATTAGGCCCCAGGTTGATCTAAGAAACCCAAGGAAATAAGTAAAAAATAGAAAACAAGAAAGTAAGCTGAGTTAAAACAGGCTGTCATCTCCCACTTTATGTTTGGTGACAATCTAAAAATATTATTTATTGAGGGTAGTGTAGTATTAAGATAAATCAGACATCTAATAACCAAAAGTTATACTACTTAAAATAATCCTTAAAAGATATAATAGACAAGACTAGAAGAAATCTAAGAAATCACTTAGTTCAGCCAATAGGGAAAATAGTTTGTGCAACTTGCCACCTGTCACACATCTTGAGGGAGAGAAACTCAGATCTCAGGTCCTGTGCGTAATAAATCTTTATTGAGTTGAGGGGAAGGGAATTAAAGAAGGGGAAAGAAGAGCAAATCCACTACAGAGTTTATGACCATCTATTCTTAACATTTAATTACAACTGGGCCCAACCACTCTTTTACAACTAACACAATCATAAGAATATACTAAATTGATTAGTTTACTGTTAGTAGGAATAGAGGAGACGGATGAAACACATGAAGGAAAAATAGGTAAAATTTGATTAGATATATGGGATATTTTCCTAAAATATTTACTCTTTTGTTACTAGTATTAGCTAACAAAAGTGGTATCTTTCTGGTAGTTCTGTAAAGTTGTAAAGCAGCTCCTGTGGCTACTATCTTGGTTTAAAAAAGTGGGCACACAAAATTGGACAAAGGACTTGAATATACATTTCTCCAAAGAGATAAACTAATGACCAATAAGCACATGAAAAGATGCTCAATATCTCTAATCACTAGGGAAATGCAAATCAGAACCACAATGAAATATTACTTCACAACCTATTAGGATGGCTACTATTTAAAAAAAAAAATAAGTGTTGGTGAGGATGTAGAGAAACCAGAATCCCTGTGCACTGCTGGTGGGAATGTAAAATGGTTCAGCAGCTATGGAAAACAGTATGGCAATTCCTCAAAGAATTAAAAATAGAATTACCATATGATTCCATGATTCCACTTCCAAAAATAATTGAAAGCTGGGACACAAACAGATATTTGTACACCAATGTTTATAGCAGCATTGCTCACAATAGCCAAAAGGTAGAAAAGCAACCCAAATATCTACTGACAGATGAACAGATAAACAAAATGTGATATATACATAAAACAAAACCTTATTCAGCTTTAAAAACAAGAAATGAAATTTGACATGTGCTACAACATGGATGAACCTTGAAGACATTATGCTAAGTAAAATAAGCCAGTCACAAAAGGACAAATATTGTATGATTCCAAATTCATGAAGACAAAAAATAGAATGGTGGTTGCAGGGGCTAGAAGGACTGAGGAATGGGAAATTACTGTTTAATGGATACAGAGTTTCAGTTTTACAAGATGAAAAAAATTCTAGAGATGAATGGTGGTGATGGTTGCACAACAAGGTAAATATTCTCAATGTCACTGAATTGGACACCTAGAAAATGATTGAAATAGTAAATTTCGTTATGTATAATTTAGCACAATTTAAAAATAGACAATTATTTAAAGGATATCTATCTATTGTGTCCTAATTACCTCCCTCTTACAGGTAACATCTCTGTGGGTGACTTCTAACTTCCAACTTACCCCAATTTCCACCTGTGCCCATAATTTACAAGTTATATTCTATTTCTAGGTATACTAGGTTTAGATTCACCGGGATCAAAATTCTGGTTGCTACCAGAATTACTGCTGTTGAGAATTTTAAAAAATATAAAACATTTGACATGCAATTTTACATATAGAGTAACTATGTTTGTATAATTATATTATTATCTAAGACTGTCCTCCTGTTTTTTATTTAGCTTAACACATGGTAGTATCCTGAATAGGATTATCTGGTTCATCAGAACAGAACAAGTAGATGAGTTTTATTATACAATGTTATTGACTAACATAAGTTACAATATTAAAGACATTATTCTAGGAAAAAAAAACCCCTATCATTTGATTCCTAATAAAAAACCAGGAATGACACTCAGAAGATCACAAAATTATGATTTGAGGTTCTCTTATAGAACTTTTAAAACATTAGTTTAAATACAATTTTGAATAGCAGGACTGAGGGGAGGAATGGGGGGGGGAAGAATAAGCTTAGTAAAGCGGTTAAGACTCAGGGAGCCTTCATACTACGCCAAATTCTTCCCTAAGGTTGGGCAAATCACATAATCTCACTAAGCTTCATAAAGTTGACAGTAACACTGGCCTGTAAAGTAGTAAGAAATTTCTGAGTGGAAGATAAAAATATCACTGAGTATTTCAGTGCTTCCATTTACTCCACACTATAATAGAGATGATAATATTGCCAGCTACAACTTCACAGGAGTGGTTAGAGGATTACTGAGTATGCTTGTGAGATTCTTAGAAATCCTTTGATGAAAGGCAATGGCCAAATTCACATCCCATGTGACTCCTTAAATGTAAACTGAGATATGTGAAATGATTTATTTTCCATTCTATGTATGGGAATGAGCAAAGAAGGGAGAAGAATCTACTATCCTTTCTGCATTCTCCTTTTCATTCAAGCCTATGCTTTTTGTGTTCAAATTAATAACAGTAATAGCCACTAATACTGTTATTAATCATTCATTTAGATGCTTTCATATTGACAATATTGTTATTAAGTACTGTCACATACATACATATAAAGGAAGGACATAAGTATGTCCTTTGTAAGAGTCTCTATTGAAAGCACTCAGGTCTATCAAAATTAAAAATGGTAGATGGGTGATAGACATTTTTCTGTACAAATTTTATTTCACAACATAAACATAATAACAAAAAACTAACAATGATATCTACCACACCTTTGAGACTTCAACAGAATCATCTCTAAGAAATTTCTACTGACACTGTCCTGTTTGCACTAGGGAAGCTTCAACTCTACTAAACAGCACTTGTGCATGACCCTCTCACCAAACTTATGTTGAAACTATTCATGTTTGTTTTTCTTCCCCAGACTAAGATGTTTATATCGTTAGCACCATGTCTACTAACTGGTAGGTTATAAGTTCTAAAAATGCTTGAACTATCTCTTCCATTAAAGTTAAAACTCCTAGATAGCACAGTATCTATTAATATTTGAATCCCCAAAGCCTGATACAGTGATTGGCATACAAGTGTTACATAA